GAACTGCCATGTTGTTCATTGCCCACTTTTTGTGTCAGAAACAAGCAGCTTAAGCTCTCACAGTCACATTCTGTTTGTGGTTGCCTCAGTGAGTGAAATGACCTCCTCAGTGGGAGAAATCAATAACTCAGCCATGGTTTTATAGTGTTTTCTTTCACTTTCCTTAGGAATGTCTGCTGTTTGATGAAGAATGGAAAATCCCATTCATAACAGCTAAAAAAATAGCCCACGCCAGCTGAGACCAGGGTCCTTGTCCCTTTTATGCACAGAGAATGATAATAAATATAAAAGAAAACCTGTGGTATGTGGTACTCTCAGTTATGAGAGTCTACACCGTAATTCTTAATAGATAGGTTTGGTGAGGGCAGTTTTGGTTGTTTTCTTTACCAGTTAATAAGGCTGTATTTGTCAGGAGATTGGATTTGTCAGTGTTCCCATGATGCTTTGCGGATACCACGGCGATATAAGAATTTCACTCTTGCTTGCAAAATATGTGAGCATGCCCTGTTTGAGTCTGTGAGCCACGTCCACCAAAAATTGCTGCCATGTGCTTGTGTTTGATTTCTGTAACTTCCCCAGTTCAGTTTACTGCAAATTTCCTAATTGGCACAAATGTCTTAATTTGTGCTAGTTTCCCCAAGCAGAGTGAAAGCCCCACTTTATTGAGAAAATCTGGAGAAATTTGCAGACATTTTATGCTAAAGTCCAATTTCTCTGTTCATGTGCAGCAAGTAGCAATTGCATTTGTGAACAGGAACAGGAGAGAAAAGCAGCAAGATGACATTCAGAGAATTCTAGCAGTCTCCAGCATTCACCCATCCCTAGCTGATACCCTTAACATTATTGTACATGGAAAGACATTGGACTGCCCAAATTCTTCCTTAAAGACAAAATGTAAAACAGTATGTAAAAGAAATGGTTTGTTTGTTTGTTTGTTTGAAAGGTGTTACTCAGAGATTTTATGTTTCATCCAGTCTTATGGTTTCACCTATGATTCTGTGCATTTGTATAGATGCACATTTAGAAATAATGACTGCCGTTCAAGCAAAAGTGCAAGACGTCCATCTCACCATTGTAGGGAAGGTGGTGAGCAGGTGATTTGTACATGGGGATGAGCAACACGGAGAAATTCAGCTTAGTTGTGCTTGGTGGACTTTTGGCATCTCGTCTACCTTGAAGCCAAAAGTGGGCTGAGTTAGCTTTTTGTAAATAGCTTCTGCTTTTCAAGTGGGCTGTAATTTGCATTTCCTTTTCAGCCAGGCAGATTGGTCTGAGTTTTAAATATCGGAGCAGGTCAGCGCCAGCACTGGGTTGATAAGCCAGACTCTGGGGGACCAAGCCAGACCAATCTGCCAACTGTGAACCCCTCCAACTGGATTCCCCACACATTCCTCCTTATTTGCTGGATCATCCTGCTGTCCAGGTGCAAGTCCAGAGCTCTGGCTGGTTATCATTCTTATCCTGTAGGCTGGACTTGACTTGGAATAGACGGGGCTTGAAAGAGAGGACCCCCCGGCCTGACTGGTCTTTCCCACCTTCTGCTCTCTACAGTGCTTGCCCTCTTTTTGCATGCCTGAGCTGCAGACCAGTCCAAAGAGTTTGCCAGAGGTTTACAATCTGCTCTCTCTTGTGCTCTCGCTCCATCCACCCACTGCATGCACTTCAGTTCTCTCCATAACATTGAAAAGGAATCTGTGCTGTGCGCAAAGGTTGGGGGTGCATTGCTGAACTCCTACCACCTGGCATTACTGCTTGGATTATTAGTTCCTAGTAATTTAGTGCCCTTGTGCAGGGTCGATTTGTGCCTTTCATTTCTAATTGATCTACTGGCTGTTTAAATGGCAGCAGGCATCTGTTGAGAGTGGGAAGGTTCATAAGGCGAAATAATTCATAACACCGTCTGGAATTTGCCTTTCATATCCCTCAGCTAAGCCTCGGTAGGGCTGCCTAAATTACGACCAGGGAGGCTCCCCCCACCACAAAACTCGTATTCTGCTCATGGCTTGAAGAATCTTGCATTAAACTGGGATCAGTCTAGATTAGACTGTAATATGCTGCAGTATTAGTGGCTGCAAATGAAGACTTATACCAGAGTTTAACCCCTTCACCTGCGTTTTTCTTTGTCTTGGTCCTGGAAGGTTTGGCTAATCCATTGGTTCCTCTGATTTGTTGATGTGTATAATAGATCTTTCAACTTGCCAGGCTCTGGGGATAGCTTTAGCTCTAAGCATGCAAGACAACAGGCTTGAAGGAAATTAAAACACACTTGCTTTGATTAAATAAAGAGTGACTTTCAGCCTTTGGTAAAAATTGGCATATGGTTTTTCCAATTCCTCACATATGTAGAGGCAGGAGGAAAATGTGAAATTGGATATTATGTGAGGGCTGTACTGCCAATCTCAGCAACCTGTTTGTCGGATTATTGTTCAGAGGTGTGGGGGGTGCAACAGTCCTCTTACCTTTTTTAACTTCCCTTGGCTTGATGAAAGCAAGCAGATGAGTAGCAAAATGAAATTTACTAGTCTCAATTAAATCCTGCTCACTTGCTTTCATTTGAAAGCCCATGCTGGTGACCTTAATTTCAGGGATGATCAATGCATGAGGCAAGATCATACCTGTTAACCTCCGCCCAGTCTCCACACAGGGATCGGACAGCTTGCATGAAGTCAACATGGGTCCCACCAGCGTGTGACATGCAACTGCAAACTATAGATCGCCCAGAGGTAACCTACATACCTGCAGCTGAAATACACTGAGGGTAAGCTCACAGCAATAAGCCACAGTAGGCTGGTGGTAGAGTGAACATCCTGCGGTGATCCCTGAGAGATGATTAAGTGGGCCATGGGCTGGTGCCCCCTCCTTCCCATTCAGTCCTCCCATGGGCAATCCAGGGGCCACTGAAGAAGGAACAAATCATTCCCCACCTCCACCATCCGCCTACACCCACTGTGATAGGGGGAATCAGTTAGCAAGCCTACACCATCCGCCCCCAGGTGCTGTTTGGGCACTCTAGGGGCAGCTGTCACTGGTAGCCCCATAAAACAAGGGGAGTTGCCATTCTTGCTATGGGGCTTGCTAACTGATTCCCCCTATCACAGTGGGATCATTTATCTAGGTTCAGATGACACAAGTCATTGTGGGAAGAATAGCCCTCGTGACAACCCATGGGTCTGCTTGTTGTCCACACACAACCACCCAGGAAAAAGAAGGCGTGGCAGCCCATCACACATGCCGACCCTCAGTGGGTTGCCACGCCATGTGCACCCAGTCATAGGCTTTGTATAGAAATGCTGATCAACACAGTGGCACATAGGAAGCCAGGTCGCATCATGTTCCATCTAGCTAAGCATTTTCTAGCCTGCCTGTTAGCATTCTCCACGGTCTTTCTCCTCATTTGTTGCCTGGACCTTTTAACTGAAGCTGTCAAGGACTGAACCCAGGACCCTCTGTCACTGAGCTACAGTCCTGCCCTAAAGTTCAGGTGACCATCTGTGCAGCTCCCAACCCCATCCCAAAGAAGAGGATATGCATAACCGAAAGAAGCCAAAACAATACAACGATTTGCATAAAGTGTGCATACCCTGGAACCTGGGAGCAGTGTGAGCTGCCTTGGATTCCTTGGAAAAGGAAAAATGTAGGATATCAGTGTCATGTAATGCTAATAATAATATTGGCATACGTACTCTGACTTTAAAAGGAATACAGTCTATCTCATCAAAGAGCCAACTGAGTGGGGTGGTGTAACGTGGTGTCCTGCAACAGCAGGTGGTTGGACTTGATGGCCTTCATGGCCCCTTCCAGGTATACTATTCTATGATTCTGTGAATGGGGAAAGCTATGATGGGATGGCCGCTGTGCTACCTTCAAATGCTGGCTTCTGATGGCCCTTTATCTTTATGCTGGGCCCTTGAAAATAGAGGGTTGTCTTCTTCAAAGCAGAACACATGGCCACCCTACCTAATATCAAGGCTAGGGTCAGCATGTACAAGCTAGAGTGAGTATTCCCAGAAATAAGGCTGACTCCTCAGGGTTCAAATGCCTGCTTGTATTTGTTCTTGGATGTATTGATAGAGGCTGGATGGCTACATGGACCCACAATTCATGTTTGTAAATATCTATTATTGGTGAACAAATGTAATACACGGGGTGTTAAGGAAGAATGGAATAATGCATTGGAGCCCTTTATTTTGTCCAATCAACCGAGTGCTTCATTGGCATCTACTTCAGAAGGGGTGATGGCTCTTAGGTTACATTTCATCCAGCAAAAATTGATGTTTCAAGTGTGTTGGACACCACAACATCTTTTAATAAGGGCTTGATTAAATTGGCCAAATGTTGCAGGCAGAATGTCTATGTGTGTATTTTTGGAAATGTCCAAAGGCTCCTTCCTTTTAAGAGGAGGTAATTTGGATGAATTTTGTGACGGAACATTCCTTAATATTTACAGATACGTGTGTTCTTAACTATCTGCTTGCTCCTTGGAACTTAACACAAGCTCAGCATCAGTGAGCTTTCCATGGCTATTTGACAGCTCAAAGACAAATACTACAACTGCGGAAGGATAAACAGCCACCTGCAATGACACAATGGGCTGGGGACTTGATGAAATGCTCCATTTTAGCATTTTAGGCATAATTTATGAATGGAGAAATATATGAATTTTTGGATTGCCTTTGTTGAAATCTGTACATAATTAACTTTAATAATAGTTGCCTATCTTGCTATACATAAATATATATGAGCACATTGTGTGTGTTCACTATAATAGATTTACTTAAAACTCATGTAATGAAATTTCAGTGTTTTATTCTTGTTTTTCTTTGTTTTATTTTTCCCTCTTGTTTCTTTTTTGTTTGCTTGTTTGCTTGCTTGTGTTTCAGTTTTGAGTCACCCTAAAAATAACTTCCACCCTACTGTGATGATCTGTACAAGGGAAAAGTGAACTAAAACATGGGTAGCATCCCTTTTGCCTCTGAAATGATATTGCGTGTTCTTTCCAGGCATCCTCTCTTCCCTCTCCTGACGCTGCTGTTTGAGAAGTGTGAGCAGGCAACGCAGGGCTCGGAATGCATCACTTCCGCCAGCTTTGATGTCGACATAGAGAATTTCGTCCACCAGCAGGAACAGGAGCACAAACCATTTTTCAGCGATGATCCTGAGCTGGACAACCTGGTAATGCCTCAGCCCAGATCATTTGTTCGTTTTAATATACTGTCTGAGTTTCATACTAAGGATGGGCAGGGAGGCATTTCTTGTGTGCTTTCGAACCCCTGCATGAACCAAAACTCAGCTGTTGCTTTGGAATTCTAACTGCTCTGAATTTTGCAAGGAAACTCTCCAACAACAAAAATTGCATGCAAAAAAACATGCATATTAGAGAAAAATGCTGGTTCGTGGAAATAGTATAAAATGGCATTGTATTTGGGAAACTGCTTGCAAAAGATGTGTATATTAAGCAGAATGCCTTACAAAAATGCATATCAAATTACATAGGAACTTTAAAAAAATTAAGACTGGAAAAATGAAAAACTGAGAGAAACTGAAAGCAGCAGGTTTGTCTCTCCCTTGCTCTCATGCCAAAAGCATCTCAGCCAGGGCTCAAACCAAGGAAACCCAGACTATGTTGCAAGTTCTGTTGTTAGGTCAATTAAGGGAAATTTGCATATGCCTTATTTTGCATAATGGAGGCTGCTTCCAAGAACCAGCAGCCATTCACGCTGGAAATTTTTACAACTGTCTGTTCAGGAGGATGTGATGATCTGTTACATCAGAGTAATTTGGGAGGATGGTTACATTTGGGAATTGGCATTTTTGAGAAAGAAATAACCAATCTGGAGAGAGGATACAGTTGCCTAAGGGGAGAAATCGTCTGGCATTTATTTAGTTCTACCAATAGTTTCTCTGGAGAAAGGCCTTATATTGCAAGTGAACACCCATTAAGGAAGCTTCTCAGCTCAAAGGGAGTGTGGAACTTTATGAAATGACAAATATCCTAGATTCATGTGTATGGCTGACTGTGTGTGTGTGTGTGTGTGTGTGTGTGTGTGTGTGTGTGAGAGAGAGAGAGAGAGAGAGAGAGAGAGAGAGAGAGAGAGAGAGAGAGAGTAATAATACAAAATTACCTAGCTTCAACAAAATGATCTTTATAGCCTCTGTCTACGACCTAATAGCCCATAGGTTTATAAGAGGCAAAGCCGCAAAGCTCGCATCCGTTGTGTGTCAGTCTCTTGTGCTTCCACAGCACAACTGCATGAGCGGTGCCAGCGGTTACGCAGGGTGAAGCAGATCGCAGGTGCTGGAGGAAGGGGGCAGCAGGCAGCAGCCAAAGGACAGCCGTGTGGGTTGCGCAGCTCACCCTGCACCTGCTCGGGGGAGAGTCCTAGGAATGCTGAGCCAGGAAAAGGTCCTACAGCTCCCAGCATTTCTGCCTTTTGTTTATGCCACTTCTGAGAACAAAAGCCTCTGAATGTGGTGCACAGGATAAAAGCTGTGCAAAAGATAAACAAGCAGTCGATAAATATAAAATAAAAACAAAAAAACATGCGAAGTGTACAAGCAATTTATACTAATAAATAGTGTCAGTATATTGTTAGTGTATAATAATATTGTTCTGTAAGCTGTAGGATCTTTTTCTACTTAAACATGCATAACATTCTGCCATAAGCTAACCAAAGCTGATCTCTAGAAATGTGTGTGGAATCAGATAGGAAAAGGAACTTTCAGTTTAGCCCCACTGATTCTTGTTTGTTAGCCTCACGATGGCAGTGACCACCCAGTTTACAGACTTCTTTCTTTAATATGGATTACAAGTTATGTGTCCTTTTTGTTCTTGGGAGGTGTTGTGTTTTGCCACTAAGGAAATTTGCACAAATAAGCACCTGAAAACCATGTGGCCCAGTATACTTTATGCAGAATCTGCCAATTTGCACAAATTACCGAATTTTGAACAAATTATACTGGAGCTACTTAGTTGTATTTATTTATTTATTAAAACATTTCTATGCTGCCCCTTGCCGAAGCCTCGGGGTGGCTTGCAACACAATAAAATACAATAAAATACAAAAATAACAATATAAAATTAACAATATAAAATAAATAACAATGTAAAAGAAGTCGCCCTGGCCAGTTTTTGGGTGTGTATTTTGCAAAACTTGCCTATTTTGCAATTTTTGCAAAAGTAGCCCAGTTCCATTAGTGATTTTTAAAAATACATGTGTCATAGTTGGTCTTAAAGACAGAAGCCAGACTTAACCCACTTCTAATCATCATACCAGAAACAGGCCGGAAATCTGTCAAGCTAAATGAACTGGGTTTCCTTGTTTCAATACATCCTTCGACTGCCAATCAAGGCAGCTGCTGTGTCAGGAACTGGGGTGTGTGCCATCTTGTCCTTTGTTTGCAGCAGCAAAATGACATCGCATGATCATAAGAGATGACACAGTGCTTAGCCAGATGCTTCCCAGGAGACCACAAGCAGGGCATAAAGGCAACAGGGCTCCCTCGCTATCCCGTGCCCAAGCTAGCAGTTCGCATTCAGTGGTATGTTTCCTCCGCGCTATCCCGTGCCCAAGCTAGCAGTTCGCATTCAGTGGTATGTTTCCTCCGAAGACGGAACTTTTATTTGGCTATCATGGCTAATAGCTGTCAGTAGACCTCAACCTCCATGAATGTATCTAATCTGCTTCTAGTGTCCTAGAGCTATTCCAGTCACGGCCCTGTGGGGCTGAGGCAGCGTAAACATGGTGTCACTCTAGGATATCTTTTCCCCATGGAGAACCCATATGCTTTAGTGGGCAGTGTGTTGGATCCGGACCCAGGAGAGCTAGATTCTAGTAATCACTCAGCCATGAAGCTTGCCAGGTGTCTTTGGGCTAGTCTCTTACTCTAAACCTAACTCACCTCATTGTGGAGATACAATGGAATGGTTCTTGTAAACCACAATGACTTCCTTTGAGAGATAAAAAGTGTAATATAATTGTAACGAGAAATTCTAAAATGAATGCATTGCCAGAACAGATTTGCGTGTACCTATTCATACACACCACTGCAAGATTCTAGATGATGATTAGAATTTAAACAGAAGTAGAATGCATCTCACCATAGTGGGAAAGGCCTGGGACTAGGTGACCTTTGCTGACCTGCTCAGCTGGCTGCGCAGCTGCTACGTGAGGATGGGCAACCTGGAGTCCCTGCGCATCTCTTCTAATGCACCGTGCATTTAAACCAATTAGGACTGGGCAGTCTTTCAGAGACAGGATGCCTCCAATCTGAGGAATGAGCACAGTCTTCAGGTAATGTGGCTCCTGCTGAAGCTATGCAGAGCAAGGCCCAGCCAGTGCTTGGATGGCAGACAGCCTGAGACCCCAGGTGCCCTGCTTTGAGCTGTGTGATAGAAGAGAAGCAGGGGTTGTAGCCCAGTCATAAAGTACCTGCTTGCTGTACCTTAGGCCCCAGGGTTGACCGATGGCATCTCCAGGTAGGGCAAGAAGAACTCCTGCCTGAAGCTCCCTGCCAATCAGCCAACAATACTAGACTTGATGGGCTCCATGTAAAGAAGCATCCGACGCTCCCACATTTGGAACATTTAGCAGTTCTGCACAGTTTCTCCTACTTACGATGTTCCTTGCACCTTGATAGGTCATGGCCGCCTGATTTGCATAATTAGTGCCTAGTTATCGCTCTTAGGTACTCATTATGCAAATCCAGGTATTGTGATTGGCCAGACCCATTATTACCCAAATAGAACATGTAGCTTTGAATAGTTACAGCGTTGTTACGGCTCAGTAACCACACTGTGAATAAGCTGATAATGCCTCTAACTGGCTAGTATAATCCCATCTTGCTGACTGGTTTCTATATCTTTGGGATCCGACAATAAATTTTTCACCTTGGCTTCTGTGACCATCTTAGCAGGGGGACCTCAAAGAAACCTGAAATATACTTATACATGAAACAAATACCATATAAATACATGCCTTTGCAAGGAAACTTGCAAAAGATTGAATTGTACATCTGAGACACTCAAAAGTTGCATACTTTAGCCTATTTTCCATTATTCTCTTGGCAAATGTTATCCACAAACCAGGACCCTCCAAATGGTTTGAACTACTAATCACAGCAGTCCCAGCTAGCATAACCAGTGCTCAGTTATTATGTGCATTGTAATCCTCTATCCTTGGAGGGCACCAGAGTGGGAAAGGCTGTAGTAGGCGATCTTCACATTCTCTTCATGATGATTTCTATTCGTTTGCACATCCTCTGAACCCAGAGGACAGAGCGGCCTTGTATTTGGTCCCCCATCCCCAAAGTGGAGTAGCATAGCTGCTGGTGCCGGCCCATTGGAAGAGCCCTGCTAGACTGGTCCCAAAGTTCATTTGTTCATAAGAACATAAGAAGAGCCATGTAGGATCAGACCCAGGGTCTATGTAGTCAGAGTTCTCTACATGCAGCAGCCAGCCAGAGGCCTACAAGTAGGACGTGAGTGCAAGCACCTTCCACTCCTATTCCCCAGCAACTAATATACACAGGCATCCTGCCTCTGATTCCAGAGGTGTCTTACAGCCATCCAACAAGCAACCATTGCTAACTTTCCCCTCCCTGAATTTGTCTCCATGAATTTTAAAGCTACCCAGATTGATGGCATCATTTCCTCCTGTAGCCAGTGAATTCTATGCCTTGGCTATGTGCTGTGTGAAGAACTTCCCTTTATCTGTCCCAAATCTTCCACCAATTGGCTTCACAGAATGACCCAAATTCTAGAATTCTGAGCAAGAGAAGGAAGGAAATACATTTCTCTCCACCTTCTCCATGACAGGCCAGCTTCTCTCGCACAGTGGGGCTGGCCAATACCTCCAGGTAGTCCACAAACGTGCCATAAAAAACACTTTCCCCCACAGTAGCTCTCCAGGTGCTTCCTGAACTTGTCCACTCAACTGTTCCATGAATTGGTCTATTCGTTTTTTAACGATGGTGGTGATCACCACATTTTGTGCTTGCACTGTCAGTAAATCCTGAAGGCCAAGTATGCAGAATGGGCCCTGGCCCAGAGAGGCTGCATCCAGCCTCCAATCCATGCCCTTGGGAGAACTCCCCTTTCCAGGAATTCCCAGCACTAGCTGGATCCTTCCTCCATGCTGATGGAAACATGTAATTCCATGCCCCTCTCACCACGA